CACACACACACACACACACACACACACACACACACACACACACACACACACACACACCTCAGCTCTAGGCTCACAGAGCGGCTTTAGATCGGATGAGTCATTCCGTCGTCGTCATGAATAAATCACACCCACTGTGACTCCCTTCTACTCTGCAGCACAGTCTTTTCCAAAACACATAAACAGACACACAAATGTGCAAACTCTCTGTGGGTTTGCTTCATTTATATATTTACACTGAAGGTGTATTATTTTAGGTTTTGGTTAGGAGAAAGAAATGCATGAGCCTTCTTTAAAGCGATTTTGTAATATTTGTTCTGTTTCTGGTATGAAGCTTTCATCGTTCTGAGCCTTTAAAATGACAAGTTTATGTACAGTAAGGTATGGCCGCTGTGAGTTTTTGTACTTTCGCCGGTGTACCGGTGAGACAGGTGAGAGGAAAAGCACAGTCCTCTGCTCTCTGTACTCCTCCAGAAGACATTTGTCACTTTCCATTTTGAACACCCCTCCGTCCTGCTCCCTCTTAGCAGTAAAACAGAGTTCATGTCACCCTGAATTTCCCTGAGGCACACTGAAGGCTACAACCGGAGACCTCGTCGCCCACACACAAACCAGGGAAAAGTGACTGCTCCTCTTATGCCACTTTGTTTATGTTTCCCAGACAGAAAAAGCTTTCTGCGCCCCCACCCTATTTGTTTACCCTTTTTTAAAATTTTGATCATTTTCAGCATTGCTCTTTCATTTGTTCACATTTCCCACCAATTCACAATCTTATGTTACGTCAGCTTTTCCCGGTCTCTTTGCTTTAGCCGTGAGGAAAAGGCCCGCGCAATTTCCCGCAGGACGATGCAACATGAGTTTGCTTCTATGACGAAGGAAATGGACTCGTTTCTGAAGCATTGATTTCCTCGCAGCGTAATGGGAGGGAGATGGCACCGAGGTGAGGGCTAAGAGCCCAGTGGTCGATATGTACTCTCATCACATCGCCGGATGTTCCCCCTGATAGGTTTCAGTGTCCCGGCATGGGCGGTAACGCTCATCGGGTGACTCTATTAATTTAGGAGCATCAAACAACTAAAGAAAAATGACGAGGATTATTTGATTTTCATTAGGGATTTAGACAACAGTGTGAAATATGCAGGGAGGGAAATTGCTGAGGAAATATTAGATGCAGCACTTATCGGGAGTGGCAGCTCTAAAGAGAATACTCAGCAGCAAAATCAAAATCATTAACAGTAACTTGATAAGACTGGTAGTGTAAATATAATAAAATTATTGTTATTGTTTGAAACTATTATTATTATAGTTAATATTTTTTTAAATAGGGGCAGATGTAATAAGATTTTTTCTTCTTTCTGCTACCTTTCATTTTTTATTTGATATGTATTTTTTTGTGTGTGGATTTGTTTGTTTTTAAATTAAAATGAATAAACATTGAAAAAACATAGTGTAAATACAAAGTAATTCACTAATAATCAGCTTTGAATGGTAGTAGAAAACAAAATGATTGCATTTATTATGATTTTTCTTCTGTTCTCGTTATTTTTCCTCAAATATTATTATTTCATGTCACTTATTTTACTAAATTCATGTTTACCATCTCGATAAAATTAGATTTGTAGGCTAATACTTGCAGTGGTAAATACGATTTTTTATGCATTAAATTTAGTTTTTGCTCATTTGTTCTTGTGTTTTTTTTTAATTTAGGCTTTCAAAATGTCTATTAGAATTTGCCAAGTTCCCCATAAGTTTCAGTTTTTTTGGTAGAGTCAACATTGTCTTCATGTCTTTTTTTATTTAGAAAATTTTGCACGTCTTTGTGATCCTTTCGTGTAATTTGGGACTCCTAAATTTGTCCTTTTTTCTAGCTGTTTCCAGCCTTTTTCTCTTCACTTGAGTTCTCGTGCAGGCAGGCCCTCGATGCACTAATTATGTGGAAAAATAACAATAAAAAAGCACCTTTTAGACTTGCTGAAATCATCCTTTCTTACTCACATTTTGCCTTTTGCCCTGCTATTTCAGTGAGAAAACAACTAGCAAGGTCACAGCATATGTACAGTCTGCACACTGCACAGTACATGTGAAAAGACAATATTTGAGCTTCCAAGGTCTTTTCACACTTCATGTGGCGCCTCAAAGTATGTAAGAATGTAGAAATGTTCTGCAAAAACTCAAGACTCCCTGTCTTTCTCAAGCATTCACCTCTGCCAACTAGCTTTTGCTTGTCGAGGACAGTTTTTCTCCACCTCCTGCACAAGCCCCAGTAAAAAAAAAAGGCTTCAACTCCTCCTGAACGGATAGATAAGACTTTTCGACAGGCTCCGTCGATCTGCACATCCGTAGAAATCTATCATCTTGCAGAAATGTTCTTACTGACTTTTAACTAAAAGAACAGTAAATTCAGGGAAAGTCAGACTTCAGTAAATGTCAGCTACAGAGTGCTTCTGGATATGAGTGGAGGAATCAACTCTGTGTTTTTCCTGGTCATTGCTGGGGTCTTGCTCGGTGGTCTTGGCTGCTCATGTGAACTCGCAGATGGCAGAGGGAACATCAAGAAGGTGGAGGAGCCCAGATCGCCTCACCTCATCTTCATCATGGTGGACGACCAGGGATACGGAGACATCGGCTATCATGGCTCCGACATCAAAACCCCAGTGTTGGACCAGCTGGCGACAGAGGGGGTCAAACTGGAAAATTATTATGTTCAGCCGATCTGCTCACCATCTCGCAGTCAGCTGATGACAGGACGGTGAGTTTCTTGTCTGATTTCATCTAGTGTTAAAAATCAATCAAGTTTTGCATAAAGAGTTTATTTATTTTAGCTCAGGGGTCTGCAACCTTTACAACCAAACCAACTATTTCTGCCCTTTTTTTTCACTCACAAAATGTGTCCGGAGCTGCAAAATGTGCTGTCAGCGGGTGGCCTGTGGGCCACTTGGAGGTTTTTTGTAGAGGAACTTTTCCAGCCATCGGGGTGACATAATAAAGCTAAAATATACAGCGAATTTTTAAATATAGTATTATTTTACACTTTAGCATAAAAGAAAAGATCATGTTTTAAACAAGAAAAAACATATTGTTTATACTAAATTTGATTAAAGATTTAACACTGAACTACGCAGAGGCATATGTTTGTTTTTTAATACTCAGCTCACAATAATTCTCCTCAGCAGCTTGTCTTAAAGAAAAATAAATCCTGTTGGATTTGAGAGAAAGATCGTCCTGTAACGCTGGAAGGGTTGAACAAGTATCCTTCACTTTTTATTTATTTATTTATTTATGCACTGAATAAAAAATAAAGTTTACTGTTGTTATCAAAACTATTTTTATATTAAATTAAGAAGAAAAATGGGGATCTTCAGTTTGACACGTGAACTAGATGATCTATGATCCTGTAGACAGGGAAACTGCTAAAGATAGTCTGTTCTGTTGTTTAAACTAAACAAAAAATTAATCTCATGTTAGTTTTGGTCAAAGCTTGTGGCCCTGGAGCCACAGGTTGCAGACGACTGTTTTAGAACAAAACTTTTTTATTTCACACAGTTGGGTGCGTTATTAAAGTAATGTTACCTTTATGAGAAGTTTAAATCTTTAAAATTATTCACAATTTTAAAATATCTTTTTTTTCCCTCTTTGGTGCCAGTTACCAAATTCACACTGGGCTCCAACACTCAGTCATTCGACCACGTCAGCCCCTCTGCTTGCCTCCAGATATTCCCACCCTACCTGAATGCCTGGTTGAAGCTGGGTACGCCACTCACATGGTGGGGAAATGGCACCTGGGATTCAGCAGGCCGGGCTGCCTGCCCACGGGACGTGGATTTCAGAGTTTCCTGGGGACTCTGACCGGCAGCGGGGACCACTTCTCCTACCAGAGCTGTGACGGTGCGGAAGCTTGTGGATTTGACCTGCATGATGGGAACAGACCTGCCTGGGAGATGAGGGGGAACTACTCTACGCTGCTTTACGTTGAGAGGTGAGAGGAATTTAACTCACACATTCGTTGAGAATGGCACAAAATATCTTTTAAAATCTCACAATTTTCAATTTGTTGAAACAGAGTAAAGCAGATCCTGAGGAGTCACAACCCTGACACCCCTCTCTTCCTCTACCTGTCCCTTCAGGCTGCACATACACCCCTGCAGGTACCAGATAGTTTCCTGCACTATTATGATTCTCAGAGCAATCGCCACAGGCGCCACTACGCAGCCATGTTGAGCTGCCTGGATGAAGGGGTTGCACAAGTTGTCAGGGAGCTGAAGACTAATGGGCTCTACCAAAACTCAGTACTGGTCTACTCATCTGATAATGGTGGGCAGCCAGTCTCAGGGGGAAGCAACTGGCCGTTGAGAGGAGGCAAAGGGACCTACTGGGAAGGGGGTATTCGGGCTGTAGGTTTTGTCCACAGCCCCCTTCTGAAGAGGAAAGGTGTTGTCAGTAGAGCACTGATCCATGTTTCTGACTGGTATCCTACATTGCTTGGACTTACCAGATCCCCGCAGTCCTGCCGTGGTCTGGACGGTCATGATGTGTGGGGTAGTATCAGCGAGGGCGTGCCCAGTCCCCGCACTGAAATCCTTTTCAATATTGACCCCGTCTCCAGGAAGCCCGGGGAGCCATACTACAAGGCACTGGAAGTCAACGGTTTTGGGATCTGGGACACAGCCATAAGAGCCGCACTTAGGGTCGGTGACTGGAAGCTGCTGACAGGAAACGTGGGTGACGGGGACTGGATCCCACCACAGGCTCTTCCAGACGGTCCGGAACGGTTGCAGAAACTTGAGAAGCGACTCAGCAGGCTGGGAAAGTCCGTTTGGCTGTTTAATATCAGCAGCGACCCATACGAGAGGTCAGACCTCGCAGAGGCTCGCCCGGAGGTGGTGAAACATCTGCTGACCAGGCTGGCAGAATACAACCAGACTTCTGTGGCAGCCAGGAACCCACCGGACGACCCCATGGCTGACCCAGAACTACATGGAGGAGTGTGGAGCCCCTGGCTCGGGCTGAAGGGACAAGGGGGAGGGGATGAAAAAGATGATGGCAAAAAGGATAGGATATTAAAGATTAAACACTGCAAATTATGCAAATTAAAGGCCCTATTTAAGAAGGTGGGGTCTCGCCTGCAACGCAACACCATATTTTAAATGTATCATCTAATAAAACTACTGAGCAAAAATTACCCATTGAAGTATGATCTACAGTTTACAGCTCTGTTGAGTTTGAGTTTCCCCCTTGGGAAAATAAATGAACAATTAACCATTGAACGATTGGTAAAATTAAAGACAAGGTGAGCAAAACTGTATTTCTAGAAGACCTTGGTCTGAACAATCAAAAGTCTAAACATTAAATTAAAAAAGAGAAAAGTCTTTCAAGCAGTTGTGTTAAAAGGCTTTTCTGAACAAATAAAAAAACTTAACAAAATGTACTTTTATATCATTTGGACATACAGTATAGGCAAATAAACAACTCTATTTAAAACTGCAAGTTGGGACAAAATAACATTAAGATTTTAACTCATGGTAAAATATGCAACAATTTGGCTGAACTTTGTGGAGCAGGAACACTTTGTTTGGTTCTGTCTGCTTAAATACTGATCCAGCAAAAACCATTAGATTTATTTTTAGTCCAAAACCTCAATGCTTAGATACTTGGGATGTTTAATTCAGACGTTTAATTTTTTTCCAGTTGTCTAAAGATTTATTAATAAAATGTTGATTTATTGATTTATTTTAAATTATTTGCTCTCTTTTGAGGACTTAAGGTAATACTATGGGTCAACTTGTACTCATTTGATTCGTGGCATGCTTGGAAACCAATAAGATTTCAAAGTATTCATGTTTCTGCCACTTGTGAGTGTAAAAAAAACCCTTAGAAATTGCTTTTAATTCCAAACACAGGGTGTTCTAAAGTTTCTGGAGTAGGAGGCTATTGCAAAAAAGTTGGGGGCTGACCATGGTGGGTGAAGCCCAGTGCTGAGTGCCAAAGGTGATAGACCAAGGGATCTTCCACTAAGAAAAAAAAAATATTGTAGAACTTCAGTAAAGCATTTTCCTGACATTTAGGACAAGGCTGGGAGGATGTTTGAAGAGTCCAAAATTTGCAGTTTTTGAAGACAGTTTGTGAGAATTTGTATTATGTGTTAAAGATATTTGCTTTTCTTTGTGAGAATACCTGTGCATCATTTAACAAGAAGTTTCTTTTAACAATTTACTGTTTAATTTTTATTGTTCCATCAACAACTAATAGCTTGCAGTGAAGAAAAATGTCTCAGTGCCGAATATTTAAAAGTCATTTGAATAAGTAGAAATAATCTCATTATGTATGAGAACAAGTAAACATTAGAACACGTCAGCAAGAGAAATAACTCAAGAACTGGTGCTTGGCTTCATCAGGTCTTTAAACATGTCAATTGGGTCATATGACCTCAAAGTTATTTTGCACAATTTTTTTTAAATAGAAAATGGTTTCTGTTTTGTAGAACAGTTTGACATTAAGTTTTGTGTAACTGAGTGACCTAAACCGATTTTTGGCTCACCAGTGTTGTTGGTTTGGTAATTTCTTGACACTCAATAGGGAGAAGCATTTAAATTATTGCTTTTTCAAAATTCAAAAAATTATCATTACTAATTAAATGCAGCCTCTAAGCAGTTTACATCGGAGCCATTTCAGGTCAGAGCAGCATCAGAAGTGGGATTTATTTCAGTTGCAGTGACACCTAATCCAGATAAAAAGTGAAGACCAAAGGGAGACGAACAAAAACACAGGTCAGCAGAAAAGCAAAAGTCAAGGTAGTCTCAACAGAGATGCAGTTAAATACTGAAGGTTGGCAGATAAACTAGCAGCCTGATTATGGATGAGCAGACATGGCTTTGTGTCTGGCTGAGGAGGATGACTCACTCGCTGTCCTGAGGCCAAGCTGCAGCACAGAGACCGTTACCGGACCGAGCAGGGAACGTGTGTGTCTCTGCGTGTTTATTTCTGTGTTCATGAATACTTTGATAAGAACGGATAGGGTTAGAGAGCGTGGATGTGGAGGAAAGGCCTGACGTGACCTCTCGTGTCCTGATCATTTGACAGGACTTTTTCAGGATGACACCCACCAGAGGGATATAGGGTGAGACAGCAGTGGGGCATCATCGAACGTCACCTTGATCTTTTTGTTCTTATTCAGAACACAGCTCTCGTCAGGAGGACCTCTGACAACCTCTCATGTTTTGACACTGCGGCATTAATAAAAACTCATAAATAGTGCAAATAAATTCAAACTAGCTGTTTACAAAACACAGATAAGTAGCTTAAACGCTTTTTTACTCTGAAGGATAAAAAACTGATGAAGAAAATGATCTACAGTAAATAATATTTTGGTCTGTAGGGATTAATTGACATGTTCTGATGCATCTCAGTAATCCAGGTAAAAAATCAAAAAGAAAAAAATTGTGTAGGTCTTCTGAACGGGTTCCTGGATTGCGATGTCTCGGTTTCAGATGGAGGACGGTTGGAAACTGGCGTTTATCGTAAGCCCACCCACACAGACCAATATTTGCGTTTTAACTCCCACCACCCACTGGAACACAAGTTAGGAGTGATCAGGACTCTGTACCACAGAGCAGACAGTGTCCCTACAAACCCAGGAGCCAGGSAGAAAGAGAAATCACACACACGACAGGCCCTGGAGCAGTGTGGTTATCCTGACTGGGCTTTCCTGAAAGCAGACAGGAAACACAGACAGGATTCCATGCAACCTTCAGGTGAAAATGAAGACCCCAAACCCAGACCCAAACCAGTGGTTATTCCATACGTTGCGGGTGTTTCGGAGAAACTGAGACATTTATTTTCTAAACATGATGTCCCAGTGGCTTTCAAACCCCAAAACACATTACGGCAAAGGCTGGGTCACCCCAAAGATCCGGTGCCCCGGCACAAACAGAGCAATGTTGTATATGCTGTTAAGTGCCAGGAGGACTGCGACCAGTTATACATCGGGGAAACAAAGCAGCCACTGTTCAAAAGAATGTCCCAACACAGACGATCTACATCTAATGGCCAGAACTCTGCAGTTTTCACTCATTTACAGGCCAGCGGTCACTCTTTCAGAGATGAGGATGTTCTCATTCTTGATAGAGAGGAACGTTGGTTTGARAGAGGAGTAAAAGAAGCCATTTTTGTGAAGAAGACCGTCCATCATTAAACAGAGGTGGAGGCCTCCGTTTTCAGTTGTCCCCCTCCTACAGTGCTGCTATTGCCAGTATCACTCCACCCCCTGTTAACAATAAGTGTTAATTAGGTGTCAACGATAGCCATGTGATGTGAGTATCAGTCACATGGAGGCAGGGGCTTAAAAGCCTGAATTTTGCCTGAAACTCTCAGACTGAAGAAGTCTCTTGGAGGAGAGACGAAACGTTTCATTAGAGAAGAACCCGTCCAGAGGACCTATACAATTTTTTTTATTTTTGATTAATTGACAATTGTGCCGGGATTGGAAATCAGTAAAGATACTGAACAATGAAAATAGAATCTGTGTTATCTGACCTCTGCAGCTCACTCTTTATGCCTGCTTGAATCTGGTAGCTCTGTGAAAAACACCAGACACTGTTTGGCCAAAGAACCTTTGAAAACTGTACCAAAAACTGGCTACACAAGAAATACACCATACAGTCAAAGCCTCAAGTCATTCTGTTTTTTACTTTGCTTTGGAGAAGCTAAACCTTATTGTTGTCTTTTAGGGTGATTTAAAGTATCAGCTTTGCAAATTTTCGGTCGTTTAGAATGCAAAAAGTTTTATTTTTGGTTCAGGGCATATATAGGCAGTGTAGACAAATGCTTAGGGCACCGTCCATCTAGGGGGCAACACCAATAGAGGAAGAAAAAATATTTCATACTTTTTTATCAAAGTATAGTGGATTTATTCACTGTTTACTCAGGTTTATGAAGTAACTTGTTCTGTGTGTTTCTCAGCTGCTTTGTAGTAACATGAGGTGTTATATGGTGCAGAGATTTTAAAAAAAGTATCATAAGATGCAGTCAAGATTAATTACTGGTGCTCAGTGTGTAAATAGAAAGCAAACTGAGATTAATGGAAGTTTCCGTAATGATCTTAGCTTAAGTTCAGGTAAAAGTCTGGTTTTCAATAACTATTGTCAAATAAAATTCATAAAATACTGATTTTAAATAGTAAATTTCTCTTCAAATGACTGTAAAATTTAGTTTTGAGTGGATCTTACCGGGAGGAATTTCTTATTGTGAACAATTTTTAAGGGACATCCTGGTTTGTAAAAATAAGATAAGAATATTATTAAAGACAAAACTATTTAATTTGATATGTGAATGTATGTAAATTGGCAGTGAGATTTAGGAAACTACACAAGGGGTGCCACCGGAAATCCTAGGGCACTAAATTGGCTCGGGCCAGCCCTGCTTTGCTTTAATTCCTAGCAACTGATCCTTCTGATCTGTGAAAACTTCTTTTAACCTGAGCAATAAATCCACACTGTGCACATTCATAACATACAGCTTTTCAAAAAATGAAAAAATAAAATAAAATAAAATAAAAATAAAAACATTAAATAGAATTTTTAGACACTCAGACACACAAACAGTTTGGCATGAGGACATACTTTGTTCAATTC